TACAAAAAGGGGGATTTGAGAGCGTTTGGTAAAATCTTCAATGTTCCCCGTTACCATTAAAACTAGTTTTGACTGCCTTCACTAGGAAAAGGATAGAGGCATTTTTTTTTTATTATGAGACAAATAGTTGTGGAAAATATTACTTTATGTTCCGATAACAGAGTACTTTTTCTTATCCTTGAGGTACAAATGAACGATGATAACATTCAATTATGAATTAATAACACACTTGATGATGTCCCATTTCTCTTTATAGAAGATTAAATATTCGGTTTAGCAGAATAGAAATAATTCTTTCGTTGTAGCAAATATTTGAGAATAGACCCCTCAGTCTTGAGATTTTCTTGTTCTAAAACGTAGAACTTCGGTCTCGGTTTTTTGCCAACAAAATCTCTCAACTATCGGGGTATATTTTTAACAATTCCTCTGTTATTAATTTTTCTTAAAAACATGTAACAGCTATTGAATATATTTTTGAAACTTTTATTTTCCTTTATAATACAATGTCTAGGTAACATTCAGGTTAATCAAGAGAGTTTTTTTTTCATTTTAATTATAAACTTGGAATTTCATCATAACTTACACATTCAATCTTAATAAACCAGAACCTGATATAGCTTACCCTTTAACCAAAACGGGTATAGAGTTCCACAAAACCCTATACTAGGTGGGGATGCTACCATCTCATAATTAGGTGCACGGTACCATCCTTCCTCTAGATATCTGTCGCAAATTGGGGCAGCGTCCTGTGCAAAATCGGGACTTCGTTTAGGTAAATCCGTAAGAATTTTGTAGTTTCCTCTTAAACATGGGTCAAGGGATAGTACACCTTTTAAAGTGCAAAAAGATATCAAAATTTGAGAAAAGCTATTTTATTTTCAATTGTAAATACGTTGTGTTCCATGTCAAATATTTACAAAAATACTTCAAATTTTAGCTATTTTAAACGAAATTTTCAGAATATGGTAAAGATGACGCATTTCATTTTCAGTCACCAAGGATCCAAGTGTTAAACAATGCATTGTTAACCAAAACTTAGCAGTTTCTACTTTAGAAATTCATATGCCCAAAAAACCAAAGTGGCTCTTTAATAAGGTTTTGAATATTAGATCTATAACGTAGTCAATAAAATCACGTGACAATGTACTCTTATAATCCTGAATAATAAATCTTACTTATGATTTTAATAAGCAGTATCCACAATGTTAAGGGCAGCACAATGTTGGTAGCCATTGGATGATCTACAAAATAGAAATAACGTGTAAATGCTACATTAAAAAAATTCGGACAATATTTTACATTGTCCAATCTGTAAAACTTTTAGACAAAGCTTCAAGTTCGTAGTTAACAAAGAGGAAAAAAAGTTATGGTAAATTAAGTATTACGTATTGTCACGATCATGTCATGTGCCATTCATACAAAAATGTAATTTGAAATCTGAATAAAATTATTGATCAACTTTTTAAAAATTTAATTAAAAAAGTAAAGTTGTTAATAATTCAAGAGGTGGTATTTTAATCATGATGAAAAAATTTCATGATTTTTTTAAAGGTAAGGCAATTTGCAAAAATTGTAATCATATTTTGTATATAATAAAATTGCATTATAAATACAAAACTTTGGTCCTTAGATTAAGTTCAAGATTGATTAAAAAAAGAATTAGATAAATTACATGATCAGTGCGTTCTGGTTCCTAATGATGAAGCAGGTAAGAACATTGTCTTCGTTTTTAAGGCTCATTATATAAATTGTATCTTAGAGGAACTTTAATTCTACAAGTAGTAATCCAACTAATATTTATAGTTCCTTTTCTACGAAATTCTTCAAAATCATGTGACATTGTCAATTTTTATTTTTTTTAATAACCCCCCCCCCCCCAAAAAAAAAAAAACCAAAATGAATTTGATCTTCCAAATATATATTGGAATCAGAAACCCATAAAAAAACTTTACAAAGACGCATTGCGGGTTTTGCTATATGTTCAACCAAGCCTCTTTTGTTACTCCACACTTAGATATTAAAAGTAGTGAAAGAGAAACTTCAAGGGTGCTGTGCAACATTATATTCAAGAAGTAGTGTAAATCAGATGTGGATACTTAAAATGCCAATGGAAATTTTGAACGATTTGAAATCACAATAATTTACCAAAAATCTACAGCTTAGTCACTTTTCAACTTTAAACAAAACAATATCCCACTATAAATTAAAGTCAAGGCTTTTTGACATTATTGACACCTGCTTTCTCAATAAAAACGGAACTCGTAAATTTACATAATTGAATCGATTTTGTAAGAGCACGCTCTACGTACGAACAATTTCCAAAACGAGATTAATTATTGGCAAAAAAGTTGATGAAACAAGATTTTTTCACCAGTCTCGTTTTATATTATCACTTTGTAAGTTTTAATGTCAATACAATGACCTTGTCAGCATTTTCAATTTCATTGAGTCAAAATCTGACTGAAAATTTTCAGACCAAATAGTGCATTTATACACTGAATTAACGACGGATATTTCGTCATATCCCGATCATGACGAGGAGCACATAGCGAGTTTGGCTGGTCGGTGGGGGATGCTTATTCCTTCATGCATATGGTACCTGATTCCACCTCTGATGTTTTGGTGTTTCATATTTGCACTGCTCCAATTTTATATCATTTTATGTACTTTGAACTTGAAAACCGTTCGTTATCCTCATATGTTTTATATACTACAGCAACATTAAAGTATATCTCCATAATTATCGTATAAATCAGATATCGTTTCATTATAATGAATGAAAATAAAAATAAATCACCAATTTTCTTTATAAGAAATGGGTCATAATTTATGATATCGTTAATTCTTTTAAAACGTATTCAATGAACTTGTATGTTTTGATAAGTGCAATATTAGTTTCTTTTATAATAGCAAACAAATTTATAAAAGTAATCAGCGAATATCTATTTTATAATTATTGATCAAAACGTTTAAAGTAATTACAGATATTAACAAAGTACATTTAATATGTTATATCATATTATGCTCAAGTGAAAAGTAGGGCCAAGGAGCAGGGTGTAGTTTGTACGTAAATTGGATTCTTGTTGAAATAATGTTCTGTTATCAAATAAAATATTAACTCATATTATTATATGTTATAAATCTTATTATCATACTTGCTTCAGCAAAATTGATGTCTAAAAACAGGTTTAACCCCCTAACCCGCACTCACTCATTTTAACGCATATACTATTTCCTATTTTTAACGAAAAATCACGCATATACCGTTTCCCGCAATCGCAAATTTTACGCACTTTCAAAAGTACATTATCTAGAATTTAATGCCCAAATCCCTTTTATTGTATACTTGCTTTAATCTCATAAAATAAGAAAAGTTATACTTTTGTTTAAATATTAGGTTAATTATAAAATTATTTATTCTGAACTTTTAAGAAACTTGTACCGCACTTTAAAATGCTTTTGGGGAAAAGGTAACGTCATATTTCTCTGATGAAAACATTAAGTGTATGTTGCATAACAGTTGATGTATGTTGTAAAGAATCAATTTTTCGGTTAAATGCTTACCTTATAAAAAAGATCAAATAAATAAATGACATTATATCATTTAAATTAAATTAAAGGGTTATTTTAAAAATCGTAAAATAAACTTACCTATTTCTTAAAGAAAACCTACGATTGAAGAAAAGCAAAAAGGATTATTTCACATATTAACAACAGCATACATGGATCTCAATAAAAGTTGCAAAGAGTACGATATTACATTACCATGTATATCCAATGCTCTAATTTATGGACATGTATGAAGTGCATTTTATATAGAGTGAAGGAGCATGTAACGCTTCGGCTGTGTCAAACACTCCTGCAAATGCCAGGAATTAAATCCAAGTCGCAAAATAAAGTTTATAATTTATTGAGGTAGCTTTAAGTTCAACAAAAAAATATGAATACTAAATAGATGGACCTAATCTTAACACGGGAGGGACTCCGGTCATACCGATAATTTTTCCTTTGTATACATATATTAAAATGATTCAAAAATTTAAAAATAAAATTTTCAAAAATTACAATATTTTGATGAATGTAAACTCAGAATTTAGACTACTTAATATCAAAATACAAAAAGTCCATGCATTGAAAACATGTTTAGAAAAATTGTGAAATGTGAAGGACATTTTTCATTTCTGAAATTGAAGAAAATATAACGTTCCAGTCTATGGTGTTGCAATATTTGATGTTTCCCTTTTGTATTGTATAATTTTTCATTTATATTGTATAATTATTCATTTGTATTGTATAATATTTCATTTGAAATGTATTACTTTCTATTAACATTATAGAATTTCTTATTTGCATTGCAAAATTTCTTAATTGCATTCGATAATTTTTCTTTTGTATTGTATTTTGGAGATTGTTGTTGCTTTTTTATGTTTCGGGTCGGGTGATTGCGTGGAGTTTTAGGTACTTCGGGGAGGGGAGAGAGAGAGAGAAAATCTGCCAAAACCCGACAACTCACGATTTCTGAGGGGGTGGTAGGCTAAGGTACAACCGGTCAAAATCAGATTTTTCATTTTCTCAGACAGCATTTCTGAGGACAGATTATAAATATAATACAAATACAGTATTTATTTGCCGTCTGTCAGAGCCCCTTTTCAGGTAAGTGGCTCTCTTACTACAAGAACGCACATTTCAAAAGCACCCGGATCATCTCGCATTTTTCAACACAATATAGGCTAAATCTAGACGAAAGAATTCCTTCTTCACGAAATTCTAAAAAATACATTCCTGGGATACAATACAAACTAGAGTTACTGTGAGCAATGAGCTAACTAAATGATACCTCCCTTGCCTCCCATGTGAATATAATGGCAGTGTCAATGTTTTGCTATGGAAACCCAAAATGTGTAGGATCAAAATGTAAAATAAATGGTGCACAATGACAATATGTAATAAAGATTCTGCGAAAGATTCATCAAATTTCATACGTTGGAGTGGCGGATAAGAGATGGGTACCCCAAAGCGTAACAGAGTGGAGTACATCCTGATTATTATTTACCCTCCAGCTTTTCAACCGGGGGTTAAAATAAAAAATTATCGAATACAATTAAGAAATTTTGCAATATAAACAAGAAATTTTGCAATATAAATCAAAATATTGCAACATAAATGGAAAATTTTACAATACAAATGAAAAATAATATTAAAAAAATACAAATAAAAATTATACAATACAAATGAACAATTAAACAATACAAAAGAAAATGATTGAATATTGCAACGTTTGACATGCCATACCATTTATTATTAATTTTTTCAGTTTTAAATCTGTATTCTCTTTTCCACAAACATCTTAAAAAGAAATAAGTAAATGTTAATGTAATCTGATGGATGAGATGGCTTGTAAATGGAAGGGCTGTAATTCACCTAAATATATCATCCATGATGGAACTCTCCCTTAAGCGTTTTTTACGCATAAACACTGGAATTCCCATGACTATCAATTGAATATTCTTATACATGTTTATCAATTATTACGTAATTTATTTTCTTTTTAATTTTGTGTGTCGAAGCTGCATTTATAGTTCTTAATAATTAATGAAGATCTGAAATTAAGATATCTGTATCATACAGCAAAAGATTGATTAAAATTATGAGAAACTCGAAGATATGACGATTAAACTGCACTGTAAAGCATTAAAAGACTGTACAATAAAAGTACCGAAACAAGCTGTTTTGTGAAACACTGATACCCCCGTATAACAACATAGCGAAGGATAATTTTTTTAATGCAAATTGAATATATTGGTACCAAAAGTAGGGTATTCTCACTGGAAATACAATTGTGAAATATGAGAGTGGTCCAAGGTTTATGTAGGTCAAACTTCAATGTCAAAGTGTCAAAGTTCTTGGTATCAAATGAAGGGTCTTCTCACCAGAATTACATATGTGAAGATTGAGAGCACTAGTCCTTCGTGTTCAAAATTTTGGACCAAGGTAAAATTTTTTCCTTAGTACTAAAATCACCAAGGTCAAATTCAAAAGGTCAGTGTTGTTGGTATCCAATGAGAGGCTTTGCCAAAAACAATGCATATGTAAGGAGTGGAAGCTCTAGTTTTTACAGTTCAGAAGTTATGACCAATGATAAAATTAAAAAAAAAAACAATAGGTCAAACTCCAAGGTCAATGTCAAAGGGTCAAAGGTCTTGCTATGAAATGAAAGGTCTTGTCAAAAGGATTAAAAATGTAAAGTACAAAAGCACTAGCCCTAAATCTTTTAAGTAATGACCAAAGTAAACGTTTTTCCATAAGTACGGAAATTTCCAAGGTCAGGGTTGTTGATATCCAAAGAAAGGTCTTTCCACAAAGAATGCATATGTGAAGTATAAATGTCCTAGTATTTACTGTTCAAAAGATATGGCCAAGGTAAAACTTTGTTATTTTTGTGTTAAATTTGGTCAAACTCCAAGGTCAATTGGTCGAATTTGGTGGTACCCAAGGAAAGGTCTTGTCACAAGAAATACAAATGTGAAATATAAAAGTAATAGCTCCACTAAAAAAAATTATGGGCAATTTTAAAACTGACAGAGACACAGACAGACAGAGAAACAGACACACTCCGTTTATTGGGGAATAAAAAAAGGTTGTATCTATCATTTTGTTGTTTTCTTGAATGTCAAGATCATGTTAATCTGCTTATAGCTTTATCTTGAAAATAACATTGAACTGAAGCATGCAAAGGCAAAAAATATGTTCTAACAACTTTTAAGAAGATTTTATCAAAATCATATTTGTCCGTCGTCCGTCCGTCTGTAAACTTTTCACACTTTTGACTTCTTCTCAAGAACCACAGGACCAATTTTAACCAAACTTGGTACAAAGCATTTCATGGTAAAAGGAAAATCAAATTGTTAAAATAAAGGTCCAGGTCCTCTCACAAGGGGAGATAATTAAGAAAAGACAAAAATTATTGTGGGGCTATTAAAAAAATCTTCTCAAGAACCACTGGACCAGAAAAGATCAAACTTATGTGAAGCAACATGGGGTAGAGTATATTCTCAATTGTTCAAAGCATGACCCCTGGGGGTTGGGTTTGGCCTCAATAGGGAATCAAAGCTTTACATAGAAATACATAGAAAAAAACTTTTAAAATCTTTTTTTCTAGAACCACTAGACCAGAAAAGATGAAACTTATGTGGTAGTGTAGATTCTAAATTGTTCAAATCATGGCCTCCGGGGGTAGTGCGGGCCACAAAAGGGAATCAAAAAAGTTTTACATTGAAATATATAGGAAAAACTAAAAAAATCTTTTTGGGAACTACTGGGCCAGAAGAGCTGAAACTTATGTTGAAGCATCCTGAAGTTATGTGGATTTTAAATTGTCAAAATTATGACCCATGTGGTTGGCGGGGGTCACAATATGTATTACAAGGGGGAGAATTTGTAAAGAACAGCATGGTCAAAGCTACTCAGTTGAGCGATGTGGTCTATGGTTCTCTTGTTTGCTTTTTCATATTCTCTTTATGACAAGTTCCACTTAAAATGACTGACAATGTGAAGTTGCAGTATATGTAATTACCATTCTAAGTTTCACGGGCTTTACTACATTAAATAACAAGGAAACATGTCATGTGCTTTTTACTTATTAATAAGTGAGTGCTAATTTATCATTTCGAAAAGTGTTAAAATCTTGTGACAAAGACTTTTCCAACAGAGGATGTACCTTAAGACTTTTGAATTTTGAGTGGTGGGGTGTTGATAACTAATATTTATGCTTGTTCGCTCATCATACTGGACTGTGAAACTGGGTGATATTAATTTACCACACAAACTGATATTAAACTATTTTGAAAATACATCGGGATCGGGATCTCACAACATATCGCGTAGAGTGATAATTAGTGTAAAGACTTTTAAAAACACGTATTTACGCATGTAAAAATATAAATAATTATTTTTAATAATTTTAACTTAATTTTTTATTTGAGGTTGGAATAATGTTTTCTTTGATTGACAGACGTACTCTATCGCAGTCATATACTATGAAGTCACGACGTCAGACAGTACTAGATTTAACCAGGGCTTATTTATGCAGTCGTTCCATGAAATTGTTTAGATAGTTCGATGGTGGAAATTTCGATACATGCATAATCTCCAAAGATGCATGTAGATAGTTTCAGGAGGAAATGAGCTTTTATTTACATTACTGAATGATCTTGTCGTTAGTATAATCCGTGCCTTCATCTTTGAATGTGTCCGCTTCAGTTCTCTTTCAAAAATGTCTATTATTTAAATCTCACTGTTTCCTGTTGTGTATCAAAGATTAAGTCATTTTACATGTTATGGTTAAATAATTGATTGTTAATTTTCGGCAAAAAATATACCTTGACATTGATTTACTAGTATGCAGTGAAAACAGAAAAAAAGTCTAATTCATGTTCGCTTTTTATTCTTTATTGTGTAAATAGATTTGTGTGTTGCTGAAGTGTTATGCTTCACTCCTATCAAATGATTATATTTTGGACGATATTACATTGTAATCTTCTTGTTTCTTTCCCAGATGCTTCAGTTCCGAAATTCATCAATCAATTACGTAACCGTGTTATGTAGAGAATCATTGTACATCAAATGGTTTGAGAAGCAATGAAAGCTTCCAAGAACAGCAGGGGAATGGTCAGCATGTCGAACGCTCTGCCAAAATTGTTATCTCTAGCGCCCATTAAGTGATCA